AGAAGTTCCGGCTTCCAAACCGGATTGTGTTAGTGGATTTCTCCCCGGGAGTGGGGAGCGGAGACGTAGGACGGAAGGTCCGAACTCCGTGATCATATTGCTTGTTTGAGTTTGTCTTTGGCGTAGTTGTTTTTGCATTTATCTTATATCGCCAATTGTGCCTTACTCATCCTTTTTGTGATCCACTATCTAGTTTATATTGTTTACCCTTGTGTTAGTTTATATATCCTTGCATATATATTTTGCTATATATCTCTTTGCTAGGATATATCATATTGTACATTGCTTATCCTATCTCATATATATTATTGCATTTCATACTTGCTAGGATAACTTGTTAATTAGTTTTAATTGGCATTTAATCGGATTAGATTAGCATAAGACCCTAATTACCCCCCCCCCCCCCCCCCACACAACTCTGGGAGACAATTTATCATGTTCGTGAGATGGTAGAAGAACGAAACAGCGACAACTAAAAATACGAACTAGATCATAATGGGGATGATGAGTATAGACATGACTATGAGGAGTAGCACCGGAAAGAGAGCTAGATGGAGTGATATTAATGGCATAAGTAGCAGTGAGAATGACCTCAGCCCAGAAATGATGAGGAACAGATTAAGAAATGAGCATGGATCGAGCGGTATCGAGAATATGACGATGTTTGCGTTCAGAAATACCATTTTGCTCATGAGTGTAGCGGCATGACTGTTGAAAGTTAGTCACATGAGAGGACATGATAGATCGCATGGTAGAGGATATGTACTCTTTGGCACAGTCAGAACAAAAAACTTTAATACGAGCTTGCCACCTGGTGAAGATCATCACAGTGAAGGCTTGATAATCATCAAGTACGTCAGAGTAATTTTTAAGTAGGTAGACCTATATATAACGAGAGAAATCATCGATAAAACTAACATAATATAAGTAGCCAGATGAAGAAGGCAGAAGAGCTGGCCCCCAGATATCAGAATGGACCAAAACAAATAAGAAAGTGAAAACAGATATACTGGTTGGAAACGGTAGAGCAGTGAATTTAGCCAATTTACAACCAGTACATGACTCAATATGAGAATGAGAGGATACAGGACCAAGTACTCCGGACCGGATAAGACTTTCTAGCCTTTTATGAGACACATGACCAAGTCGTTTATGCCATAAATCTGTGGAAAATAATGTAGAAAATTTTAGACTTACAGAAGCAACAAGAGAACGTGGACGTATGGACTCTAGAAGGTGAAGATATTCTAGAAAATACAGTTTGTGTCTCCTCCGGCCGGCCCCAATAGTCTTGTCCGTCTGTGGATCCTGCACAATACAAGTATCAGAAGAAAATGAGACAAGTAGGCCATCCATTCATAAAGAGCTAACAGAAATTAATTCAAACACAACTGATGAGCCACATAGACAGGGCCAAGAGTTAGACAATCAGATGGATCAGTTTATGGGGTGATAAAGTCATATTGAGTGATAGACAAAGGTTGTCCAACAGCCGTATAGATAGGAGGAAGAGAAGAGGAAGTGAAGACAGAAGATAAGAAGGAGGCATTACGAGTCATATGAAAGGAACAGTCAGAGTAAAAAATTCAGAGATCGTTCATACCAGAGACCGAAGGGTTGGCTGAAGAATCAGCAAGACGCATACCAGAGAGTTTGCAATAGATGTAGAGGCTTTATGCTGCAGAGCATCAATTTGATGGCGAATATGAGAGAGTTGTACAGCAGATGGAGAGGTGGTATGCTGAAAGGCCGTAATTTGACAGCTAATATTTGTAATAGCTTGAAGAGCCTCAATTTGACGGCGAATATCAGAGAGTTTTGCAGCAGATGGAGAGGAGGTATGCTGAAGAACCGCAATTTGACGGTGAATATCTGCAATAGCTTGAATGGTAGGGTCTGAAGTGGTAGATGACATAACATTGACCGGTAATCCTGGTGCACTAGAGGATCGGGACTAAGGGGATCGCTGACTACAGCCAGTTCATATGGAACATAACTCAGGATGAAGCTGGAAACATGTCTCAAAGCGGTGTCCCTCCTACTTGCAATAGGTGCAAAAGAACTTAGACCGATCCTGAGAAGCAGGTGTCAGTGAAGAGGCCATAATAGCAGTAATTCAAAGTTCAAGATAATAATCCTTGAACGAAACCCAAATGTTTAAAGGAGAACACGAATGTTAATGTAGAAGCCCAAAGGTTCAAATGTAAGAACCCGAAGGTTAAATTTGAACCTGAAGGTTATACATAACTGTCAAATCTGAGAGAAAAAGAAGCGACCGGCGACCAAGGTAGCCCGAAGATTGGCCGGATCTGATGCTCACGTCGGAGACCTACAATTGATTAATGGCGATGTTGAGATGTTGAGACGTTGAGAAGGATTGAAACGGCGAATGTCGTTACTGACTGTGAAACGACATTGCCGTTTGTTTGAGGTTGAGAGACAGCTTGAAACGGCGATGCCGTTAATTTGAGACCGAGAGACAGTCTTGAAAAACCATTATGCCGTTAAATGACTAAAAAACAGTAAGGCTAAGATTTGACAAAAGAACGCAGAAGCGTTAAAAAAAATTATTGAAAGTGAAATAATAACCCTAGGTCTGATACCATGTTAAAGTGAGAGAGAGAGAGAGAGAGAGAGAGAGAGAGAGAGAGAGAGAGCCTTGGATAAATTTCCCCTTGAGTTGAATATTGAGTGTGCATATATATTTATATAAGTAGAGGAGGGTGATGTGTGTTCGTACAACCAACGTGGGACTAAAAAACCATTACTAATACTATTATCAACACTATTATCAACCGTTTCTTTTGTGTACCTAATTTTATGCTTCTCTATCTTTCTCTATCTTCACCTTAATGGTTAGGGGTGATGATGTTTCTTCGTTAACCAGTCAGTTGTTAGGTGGTAATGGAAGGTGGCTCATCCTGTTTCTCAAAAAAGTTTTAAAGAGAGCTAGATTAACAATGTCCCTATGTATGACAATTTAGCTTAAGAGCCTAATTGGTACAAGGATGAAGGGCGTTAAAGGGTATACTTGTAAACTTTCTCCTAAAATTTCATCAAGGTTAACCAAGTATGAGATAAACTTTAACCAAGTGAAGGGGTAAGATAAACCGTAGGAAAAGTTTAGGTTTGGTTCATTTAATCATGTAGGATTATAAACCCCAAAAATGTTTCGAAACTCACTAAAACGCCCCTAAGCTCTAAAAATTACAACTATGACCCTATAAAATAGGAAAGTACAAACAACCGCGAACAACTCAAAACTACAAAAAAAATACCCTCAAGAAATCTAAAATTTGTCAAAACACCCTAAAAATTCAAAACACTTACTAATAACACTGAAATTTCAAACCTTACCAGTAGCCCTGAAAAATTTTTGAATTTGCAAAAGTCACCCCGAAATTTTGAGAATACAAAAGACACCTTAGAAAATCAAAATATGGGAAATACAAACAAATCCCAAATGTTTTGAAGTTTGTAGAAAACACCCTGAAACTTTAAAAAATTGTAAATAACACCTAAAACTTCAAATTTTACAAAAAAGGAAATTTTCAAACAAAAAACAATAAACTGAAAATCTAGAAATTACGTATAGCTCCCTAAAAGTGCTGGTTTTTCGAAGGATTTTTACCATAGGAGACGGATTGCCATTAAAGCCTGTGAGAGGGCGGATGTCTATTATTCTAGGACAATGTTACACAACTGCTCCCTATAGGCTAGCGATATTTACTCTTAATTTATTAATTTATTTGATTATTGAATTGCAGATCTTATTCAATCTTTGCTAACAAACCTGGAAAAGGATAATTTAACTTTCATGCTTATTCTCATTTACTTGGTAGATTCATACATTTATGACGACTCTCAAAATATTCTCAGAAGAATCCTTGCATCACAGATGATTAATTTCTAAACCCGCTACTCTTGATGTATGGAAGAAGAAAAAAATCCCTTCAAAGTGTCCTTTGCAAAAAAAAAAAAAAAAAAAAAAAAAAAAAAATTCCAAAAAAAAAAAAAAAAAAAAAAAAAAAATCACATACAGGCTAGATAGGAGATTATGATAAGTGCTCATTATACATTTTAAAGTTTGTACCTGACTGCACTATGTTATCACGTTAGTGATCGCATCGTTACAGCATTAGTGATTGTAAATAACAGTTGCAGATGCATCTGTAGTTATGGTTTTTTTTTTTTTTTACGAAACGACTTGGATAGATTTGGATGAGCAGAAGTATCAAAAGCAAGAAGTTAATCAAATAAACAACTTCTAAAATTATGAAGTAGAAAATAGCAAAAGTAACCCTTTATTTTTTTTGTTTCACAAATTTTTGGAAGAAAAGGGGATAATATTTCTTTCTCTTTGTTCATTTTTTTGTTTGGATAGTCATTATAAATATTATTAGGAAGAGAGAAAGGTAATCTTTACGGATTTTATTTAGAAATGGAGAATATCCACACAGATTTTGATCCTATGTTAGCTCATGTTTTAGCTCATTCTGAGCCTTAAAGAGGGGAAAAATATAAGTAGAGATGTCATATAGGTAACACATCAGTATTTAAGAAAAAGTAATAGTAATTTTCTACAGAAATAAATAGATTTTTTGCTCAGAAGTAATAGGAGCGGCTTCTAATTACTTTATTTTAGCTACTTCATACCTACTTCGATGCAAACAAACAAGTCCTAAAGAATTAGGTTGCAAGCCTTTTTTTTTCTTAAAGGTTGTTCGTTTTTGTTTGCAACTACACTTACATACACTACAAGTAAATATATCTGCTCCCAAATCTTTGCACGCTAATTATAATCAAGGGTTAATTGCAAACTAGACACTGTAGTATTGTTGTTTTGAACTTTTACTTTCCCTCCAATTTTATTTTCGTGCAGATAGACCCTCTGAGTGCAGTTTTCAAGGTGGCTATTTGTCAAAAACCCATTCTCTTTCTCTGAGAGTAAAAGAGTATAAAAAAAATTCAGTCCAAAGATCTATCTGCAAAAATAAATTAAACTGGAGGGTCATAAGTTCAGAACAACAATACTACAGGGTATCAATCAACAATTAACCCTTAAAAACAATTCAGCTCCCCTGCGTGTTCTATCCATTTAGACAATTTAAGTCCAAAACTGAGACATTAAAAATGGAAGACGTGACACACAAAAGCCAAAAAGTTCATAACGTTTTTAACAGCAGTAAGTCGATGCATTATCTTCCACTCACAAGGTAGCAGCTGTGACATTTATTCTACACAATTGGTGCTCTTAAATAGTACTAGTAGTTGATTGGAAACTCAGCCATTAATCAGAAGCAAGAAGTGCATCAATCTTGTTCCCAATATGGGCTTCATGATCTTCTAGCCGTCCTGCAGCATCATCGTTCTCCCATCGAATGAGTGTTGGAACTCCAGTGAGCTTGAACCTTGGATCGATCCTCCATGGGTGGCTTGGGGTTCTCCATGTGGGTCTATCTCCCACATAAGCTCTAAGAAGTGCCACATTCTTGGTTGAAGCAGACAACTTTTCATTTATAACTGGCTCGGCTCTCACACAATCTGCAAAACTTGTAAAAATTAGCATATAGAAATGGAAAAGTAACTCATGAGAAGAAACCCAGAAGTTAATCTAATCCCAACTTCCTTGTTTATCAAAAAATAAGGAAGGTCCTAACACTTTGTTTGGTACACGAGAATGAAGTCAAGTGAGAATGGAATGGAGGTAGAGATGAAATAGAATAGATGTGGGAATGGAATGATCATTCAAATTCTCACGTTTGGATGCAACTGAGAATGGAGTGGGAACGACAATCTCTTTTATTTGTATGTGTAATTAATAAGCAATCAAGATATTATTGCAAATTTATATTCACAGTTAAGTAGGAATGTCCATTCCCTACCATCTCATTGGGAGAATGAATGAGAAGTAGAAACGGTCATTCTAGCTTCTAAAAATGTGTTATGTTTGGTATAACTTAGTAGCCTTGTTCTTTTTGGAAGCAATCATTCCATAAAGGTATGTAGTAAC